ATGTAAAGATGGTGTACTAATACAGTTTTTTTTTAATTCCTGGCGATTATCGAAGCTGAACATATCGCCAGGAATTATAAAAACTGTATTACTACACCATCTTTACACCTGACAGAAAAGGAGAAAAAAAAAATTAGGCGGCTAGGAGATCGGTGCGCGTGATTCGGGAAATTCGGTAGAGCAAGAGGGTGGAAGCAGACAAAGTATACATAAAAACAAGTAGTTAGTCAGCGCGGTTTGTTTGAATTTTGCTTTATTCTTCGTGTGTAAGGAGTGAGTGTTATTTCCTACAGTGCGCTGTAGAGCAAGAGGGTGGAAGCAGACAAAGTATACATAAAAACAAGTAGTTAGTCAGCGCGGTTTGTTTGAATTTTGCTTTATTCTTCGTGTGTAAGGAGTGAGTGTTATTTCCTACAGTGCGCTGTAGTGTCTGTAGAAATGAGCAACCAACTCGCCCAAGCTGCTACGTTCATTAAGCAAATTATCGAAGTGACTGTATGTCTAAGATATATAAAGAAAGCAAATAAGCGTGTTCCTCATGCCGTTCGGCGCCTAAAGGGCTCTCAAGAGTCAATTTCTGGGAAATAGTTTGCAGTTTCAAATTCTTGCAATGAGCTCGCTGTCATTAAATCATCAGTTAATAACAGTTCGAACACTGCGACTAGGCTGGGATCTTATTTACAGTGTTGTCGATTCAAAAAAAAAAGAAGAAAACTTAAACCTGAAGTCGAGAAACAAAGAGTTCCCAACGTTTCGGGGTCGACCTGACTCCTTCTTCAGGGGTGACTAAAAATGGAATGGGACAGCGCGAGCTTTGACCTCTCCTTCCTCTTCTACCGAGGTGATGCTTTGTGAACCTGACGCAGGCCACGGACGTAAATAGATGGCAAGGCACTGAGGGACCTGTTTATGTTCCCCGGTGTGTTCTGGATATGCCACGACTCCAAGAACAGGCGTTTTTAAGTATGTGGCTTCGTGTCTATCACGTGCGCCTTTCCGAAGTCGATCCGATGATCAAATACCTCACAATGTTCCGCGACGGCCCTACTCTCGCGATCGAAATTGTGCACATCGTTCTGGAACTGGCGCATGCGTTCGGGAAAAGATTTAGTTTTACCGATGTAGGCGGCGGGGCACTCCGCACACGGTATCTTGTGCTTTCTCTTTTGGGACGCGATCTTTCGGCCTTGGCATGAGCCCTCCTAATGTTGACACTGGCTTGTGCGCCACTTGGATCGCTTTTTTTCAGAGCACGCGCGCCAGTGTCTCGCTCGTCACTTTTACATAGGGGACACTGATGCGCGCGATGGGGCGGGGCTGTGTGTCACCTGACGATCCATGGTTATTGCGCGTGCAACACTGTCGACGGGCGACGCGTTGAACAAAACTCCTTGAATAGCCGTTTTTTGGAGGTTAGCAAGTATGGTCTGTTTCTCCTTTCTTCTGTCCCTTTCCGACGAGCAGATGGTCATTGCTCTACACAAGAGAGTAGACACCACCGACGTCTTATGACTCGTTGGGTGGTTCGAGTAATAATCAAGGTAGCGTCCGGTGTGTGTTGGCTTCCTGTAGACAGTGAATCCCAGCTTGTCTCCTTGCCTTTTCACCAGTGCATCGAGGAACGGCAAGACTCCATCTCTCTCGTATTCTGCAGTGAACTGGATGGCCGGTTCTATGGAATTCAGGTGTGCGAGGAAGTGGTTTACCGCTGATTTCTTCATGATGCAAAAACAATCATCTACATAGCACATGAACTCTTTTGGCCTGTTGGCGAAAGTGCGAAGCGCTTTCTGTTCAACCACTTCCATTATGAGGTTTGCCGTCGTGACCGAAATAGACGCGCCCATCGCCGTCCGCTGACTTGTTTGAAAAGCTCACCCTTGAAGCTGAAGTACGTACTGCCAAGGCACAACTCGAGAAGACGGCATAGCTCATCAACACTGAGGCTGGTTCTTGAGCCCGATGTTTCGTCTTTCTCGAGAACCTCTCTGGCTGCAGCAGCTGCTAAGGGAACTGGCACGCTGGTAAAGAGTGACACAACGTCGAAGGACACAATCGTGTCAACATCGCTGAGTCTCACTTGCAAGGCACGTTCCACAAAGTGGCCGGTGTTCAGCACATAGCTCGGCGTATTTCCAACAAGAGCAGCTATAGTCCGGTGCAGGTAATTTGATAGCGCTCGGAGCGGCGAGGTCGTAAAGTGTACGATGGGTCTCAAGGGGACTTTAGGTTTGTGGGTCTTGGGTAGTCCGTAGACGCTTGGCGCAGAGTCATTCCTGCAGATGAGATGCAAGTGAAAAGATTTCGACTCTGGATATTGCTTGAAAATGTCAGACAACATCTTGTTCATGTTCCGTTGAATTTCGTACGTTGGATCTTTCTTGAGCCTTTCATTGTCCGGACTTTCCAGAAGATCCCGTGCCTTCTGTTCGTACCCCTTCCGGTCCAGGACGACAGTATATTTTTCTTTATCTGCCGGCAGTAGCACAATCTCTGTATCCTCGCGGAGCTTCCGAGCGCAGCAGTTTCATCGCGAGATAGATTGTGGCGTTGCCTCGGCGAAGGTTTTGAAAGGATGCCTATCGCCCTAGCGTCCGAGAAGGCTGTCGCTTGCTCGGACACTAGGGTCTCGGCGCGCAAAACCGTCTTCCACAGCGGCAACCATTTTTGGTAGAGGGGGCCGGGTCGTGGTCATGTTGAAGCCGTGGCTTTTTGCCAACACTTTTATCTCGCAGGGAGAGAGTTGTCTTGAAGAGAGGTTCGTGACAAAACTGGCGGTGTCAGCGCCTCCCCTTTATGGGTCTTTTTTCCTTAGCTTAGAAAGCTTTCTTTTTTTAGATGCTTGTCATTTTTCTTTAGTAGCGGAGGCGATACTGGAAGCGAACGACCGGGGATGCGATATTCGAGCTGCCGACGCGTGAAGTACGGGTCCAGTTCTTTCCTCCTTAGGATGGAGTGGCATTCGTGAATGCTGGCGCTTACCAGCCGGTGCTCCGCCTGTGCCAAGATCTTGCTTCCCTCCTGGGTGTGTACGAGGCGCTTGAGACGGAGGCTTTGGGGAATCACGTGCAAGTCCTGGCAGGCCCTCGTGAGGTTAATATAGGTCTTGTAGGTAGCGATGCTGCGGGTGATGTTGACAAACCGCTTCGCTAGCTGGGCTGTCTCCGGCGCGAAGTCAATGGATGACTTGAAAGTAAACATCTCGACAGAAATCTGTCTGGTTTGGGGATCAATTACAAAAAAAAAACATGAAAACTCAAACCTAAGTTTAGAAACAAAGAGTTCCCAACGTTTCGCGGTCGACTTGACTCTTCTTCAGGGGTGACTAAAAAAGGAATGGGACGGCGCGAGCGTCGACCTCCCCTTCCTCTTCTACCGAGGTGATGTTTTGTGAACGTGACGCAGGCCATGGACGTAAATAGATAGTAGGCGCCGGGAACCTGTTAATCTTACCCGGTGTGTTCTGGATATGCCACGACTCCGCAAGCCACACAAATTTCTGTCGAAGATGCTTACTTTCAAGTGTTGCCGATGTTTTGTAATTGGGTGTGAAACATGCGGCCCGCGGGCACTTCCTGTGCGGAACAGGGACATGACACTGCGAGATGCGTTCAAGGCGGCAACCAGAGCGATGATGCCAGTTCTTTAAAAGCATTCTGATAGATATTGAAAACCCGCGCAGTTTCAATAAACATTTTTTGGGGGGCCGGCGTCATTTTGAGTTGTGCCCCACGGTTTTATATCCACACATCAAAGTCGCAGAAGTGCTTGCGTATACGCAAGCACGTATGCGATTTCGACGTTCGTCCAATCGTAGCAATAGCTACGATTGCACGAGCGACAACGTCTGGTATTATCTAAGCTCGCATTTGAACAATTTTCAGTCTTAACTCAATTTTATGCGAAATGTTTATGAAGGTCACAATCAAAGTAGCTAATTCTGGGTGACATGGAAAAAAAATCAAACAATATGTGGCTTTGTTCGAAAATTTCCGTCTAATTGAATATTAGCACTCCGTTTACTGGGGAATATTTTGAAGATTACAAACCGGCATTGTGTCCGGGCACTTCACTGGCAGAGCAATATTTGTTCTCGCTTTGAGATCTTGCTACCTGGAAATATAGGCTGCTGATCCTCTATGATGGTCGCAACTCTACATTGCGCTTCTGTTTTCTGGCAGCAATGAGCGACCAAACAACAATACTGAGCAGCCTATAACAAGCGAAGGCAAAGTGTCTACTGGTGACTGTTAGTTCGAAGCTTGGCCGAGGCAAAGCGTTCCGTCTTTCCATCATCTCTGTCTACTTTTATTTATAAACCAACATGCTTCTTCTCAAAATGTATGTCACCATGGGCTTACCACTTAAACCCCGCAACAGCCCCCCCCCCCCCCCACACACACACACGCACAACTCCACGTCCTCCGCCCTAAAGTCCCTCTACGTTTAATGTCTTCCAGGTGTTCAAGAACTCATTTGACGCAGCGGCGAAGCAGCCCGGTCCGTAATAAACCAAACTTTATGTAATGGTGTCATTGTTCTGGCATCTCGGGGAAGGTGTCAAGCCGGACCACAATGTAACAATGTACAAGTTAGCGTATGCTTGCTGTCTAAATGTCTTTCAAAAAGTCTAATTCTTTGCCGTCACAAAGCAGTCCTGTCCGCAATGAAACGAAACCACTTTTATATTGTAATATCGTCGTTGTGCCTCGTTGAGGAGCGTGACAAGGGAAGACACAATGAAACAGGGAACCAATGTTCCGATGGTTTTACAGTGTAAGCTGTTCAAGAACTCTGCTTCCTCACCACTGCACATAAGTACGATCTGCGATAAAGCAACTTCTGGAAGACGATGTTGACGTTTGACCTGTTAAAGAATGCGACAAGGCGAACCGCAGTGCAACAGTGGACACGTCCGCAGACGAACGGAGCCTGCCAGGTGTTGGAGAGCTTAAGATGTTCACGATAATACAGCAGCCCGGTCTCCGGGTAAGCGTCTTCTACATGATGGCTACGTCGTTCTGACTCGTCGAAGAGTGCGACAAGGTATTCCGGAGTCTAACGATGGAGTTGCGGAACGCCAACCAGCGGTTACGCGCGTAGTCGTACAGCGTGACACGAAACATTCTGGAGCTCGCGTTGTACAGGACGAAGTTGATGGCGAAGTTGGTGTAGTACAAAATCATAAAGTATCGCTGAAGGATGTAAGCCAGGGAACCGGAGGCCGCCTCCAGGGACTCGGCGTCGCCGAAATAGAGCAGAAAAACGTAGATGCGCAAGACGTAGCTGGGCAGGTTGAGCAAGATGAAGACCGTGGACACGAGCAGGAGCATTCGGGTCACGCTCATCTGCGTCACAGGCGTAATGACGTTGCTGCCGCTTTGGGTGGCGTGCAGAGTGCTGCCCGACTCATTCTGCTTCGAAGGAAGGGGATCTGAAAAACCCAACAAAACACAGGAGTTTACAAGGATAGGCAAAAATGACGTCAGCGAAAATACCCAGGAACGTGGGCATTATACTTTGTTTCACTTAAAAAAAAAAACCTACCGCAGCCGACACTACATTCTGATTGAGTCAATTAATCGACGCCGAAAGAGCATAGGCACGGCGCCCATTGGTTTGGCTAGGTGGCGCCAGCTACCGCCATTTACAAAGGGTATAGCCATTAAAATCTATCCATCCAATCACTTTGGGTGTGTTTACCGTCACTGGCTAAATATATCGTGCACACACAAAAAAAGCGCAAGATTGTGGCGCATTCACTGTGCATGTAGGGTTTTGTAGGTGATAGTAGCGCACAAACGCACATTGAGCTTTTGGCTGTTCCTCATTTACTCAAATGGTTCTTAGCGTCGGTAGTGAAATGGAGTATAGACCAACTCGAGCCTCTGACGTCAAGACCACTGCGGTGGAGCTGTCGTCGGCACTACGCATGCGCAGATGCTTAGCCTCACGCAAACCTGTTTTTTGCGCACGCGTAATGGACACACCACGTGTGGGCAAACACCGGCTTGTTTGTAAAAAATATGTTGGTCTATAGCACGGTGCCCGAATACTGATTTAAATCGAATGGCTCGGTGCCGTTCTTGGCATCCCGCAAAGAGTCCTGGATAATTGTAGCTCATTTATTTTTTTTTACGCGCGAAGCCTACGCATGACGCAGCGCAATTCAAGTTGGACAACGATTCGCACACGCATCTTAATCAAATATTATGAATACTGAATCTAAATAAATTTATTCTAAAACAAAGCGAAATCGAATTTCGGATGTTACATCCACGTTAGCGCAACTTTTGATTTTCACTGTTTCACATTGCCAACGTTGTAACAAAACAATATGCATCTTACCTTACCAAAATCAAAAGGGTTGTAGATGTTTTGAGCTTATGAAGAAATAGTTGGTGTGAAACCAGATCAGACGCCTTGCAAAAACGAAGAGATATACTATCGTTTCTTCGTCTCTCATTTACATCAGATGTAAAGACGTGAAATTCATTGGGTTTTTGTGGCACAGGAACAAGCGTTTAAAAAGCTCGTGTTGCTTTTATAGTAAAAAAGTGTTCGCCATTAACTCCTCGCCACCTATGAATAGTAAATACGTTCAATGATGTAACTATATATAAAGGTCAATAACAAAGGCCAATCGTTATCCACATTTTTCTTCGGGTATCTTCATGAATAGAAAAAAATGTGAGTGTTTATTTCGTTACGTGAAAGTATACCCCTCGAAAATTTATTTCCATGGGTGAACCTTTTATTGAGAGTGTGACCTACAGGCAACAGACCATATAATTTTTGTTTGTTTAATAGTTTCGGTCTCATCCCGTTTAATCGTAAAGATCAAAACTACAGCACCATCTAATGAAAACATACGCAAGTAGTTGACAAAGAAAAAAAGAAAAGAAAAAGACGTTTAGCGCGCAAATAATCGGCGTCTGAGAACGTCACTTCATTAGATTTCGAGCGAAAACTGCGAATGCATGTTTTTCTCTCGTCACTAATAATTTACGATATTGGACCGTTTTACCTGAGGCTATCTTATACGCACATATTATTGACATTTTATAGTGCTTCATAAAGGCAACGTTACTAGACGGGGTCAGTTTGGTAACTCAATCGGCATTCAGTGGAGGAGCGCGGGCCGCTACGGTAGAGGGCGAAACAGTGGTGCTTCCATCGCAGTGAGATCGATCTACCGCGCGTCGTCTGCTGCACTTGCGTCGCCTGCATGGCCTGCTGCGGGCTCCACCAGATCCGCCGCGGATTCTCCGGTAACGTGCGTCGATTTGGGAATGATCATCCGCTTTTGAGCTGTAAATCCACTTTTTTTAGAAATCAACAATTCGAGATGGTTGTTGTTGGGGTTCGACAGTTGAAATGAGTTCAAAAGGGCTTCCAGCACACATTTGGAAGTAATCAACATAACCCAAAGACAATCTCAATTCTTCGAAGGGTCATAACCATGACCGAGCAGTACTTTGACTCATATAGCTTGTCTCTGGCACCAGCTTTCCCATTGTGCTGACAACGAAAAGAGGATCCTTTATGGATGTGACAGCCCCCATCGCAGAAACTACGTCTTGCTTCTTCACGAGCTTGTAGAAAATTATGCGATCCTAGGGTGTCCTTTACGTTATGAGTTTTTGCACTAGCGACTGTGTTCCTGAAGTTCCGGAACACATGTCGGAAACGTCGGCACGCGTGTCTCTTCGGTTGCTGTCATCATCTGCTTCGGGTTCCCATGTAAGTATCACACCAGAGTAACAGAACTGGCTGCAACCTGAGCAAGGCTTCAGTCGAAGGGGGTATTTTGCTTGCTGATCTTCTTAGTTTGTTTCGAGAAATGTGCGGGGACATTCCGAAAAAGACGTCGAAGAGTATCTTTTAATAACTGCTGGACCTTGGCCGTAAGAACCGCCTCCGCATCGTTGACGTGCGAGTAATGAGAGATTATTAATGTCATGGGACGGAAAATGCAAATCGCACAGTCTAATTATGTGAGCGTAAACGTTTAAGAGATTGCGTTCTGCCAGTCTTTCAGGCTCACACCATCCTTCCGAGCACTGAAGATATAACACTTATCTTTACTTTTCGACGCTTGCGAGGTGTACCCGCTGCGACAGCCGGGAGCATAGCAGGTCGACATGCTGGCAGATTGATTGACAAACGACTGAAAGTGCTCGGCGCCAAAAAAAGAAAAAAAGTTACGCGCTTACGACAAGCCACGGATGACGCCAGCGAAGAAACGAGGAATACAACAACGAGCACAAGGCAACGCCGAGAATCAATCTTAGGGCTACTGCAGCGCCACCTCTCGCGCGAAGTACGAAACGATGTCTAGCCGGGAAGAAAGTTTCCAAACTGACGCCCTTTCGTTGATAGAGGTTACGGACGAGAGCCACCTTCGGACTTTAGCCACCTTCGGACTTGATTTCAGCTCTGTTGTTTCATTTTATGTTGTTAAACATTAACGCAGTAGAAAATAAATGTTTTGAGAATTGTTTTGTATATCTCGTTAACAAAGGCAATGAAGTGAAATCAGATGAACCGCGCTCATATATACAAGGAGAAAAACCGCCCGGACACTGACATTAGCGTCGTTCCTGTTCTTTATATCTCGCGCTAAGGTTGCCTTAAAGGAGCACTGACAAGTAAACCCAAGGGCCGTATTTTATTGTTTTTATTGTCTAAACGTCGATGGAAGTTGTATTTATAAAAAACACAAGTAATACCAAAACGAAAAAAAAAACTATTTCGCACGCGCGTACTCGCTATCTTTTCTCTTTGGCATTCTTCTCTGCCACTTCTTACATCCTCACTTCTTTATATTTGTGACGTAATCGATTATAGAATTTGGATGCTTTGTAAGCGTCATTTCTATATTATTAAATACCGGCACTAGCAAAACATGTTTTCAACGCAATTGCAATGTCAAAAATCGGAGACCGGAAGTGATATCGCCTACTGGCTTTTTATGCTTCCTCGGAGAATATGGCGGCGCTCAGCACCAGTAGCAGAGCGTGTAGGAGAGAGGAGGATCGGAGAATGGGGGAATCGAACAAAGTTCTCTTTGTGTTGCAGAATTACCTCTGGCTTTGGACGTTTTGCTTCGTGTAATGTGCCTTGTTGCGGCAAGTTCGTCGGAACGACAATACTGCCTCAACCGATGTATCATTTGAACCTGCGACGCTGTATAGACGCTTAGGCTGACCTCATAATCTTCGTCGACCCGTCGCGGTGCAGCTGGTTACGCCGCACAAGCGCGACCATGGTTCCTCACGTTCCTTACCAAAGTCCACTACGCGTTCCATTTGACCTCTCGCCGTTTTAAAGAAGTTCAGATCGCTGAAAGGGCAATAAAAGAGCTTGAGACTCGAAGTAAAGCGTCGTCTGCTGGCAGTGATTGGCGGCACCCACAGAGAAGGGTGGCTGATTGCGGACCAAGAGGAGACTTCCGGTTGGGGAACTTCGGAGCCGGGAGATAAACTCGAGTTGCAGGACGACTGAATCTTTGACGTCACTCCACTGTCGCGGATCACGCGAAAACTTTACATTCGGCTTTTGGAAATTGTTTCTTACTTCACAAATACTGAGTTCCCAAGCTTCGAATTTTGTGGGTAATTTCCTGGCATCGTTTTCGATTGTTTCGGATAATTAAAAAAATGAGTTGAATATGTCAGTGCCCCTTTAACGTCGCCTGGCTGCAGTGTTAATGAAATGTAAAGTGTTGCAGTCGAATTTCGGAAAAAGAAAAACGAACGAAAAGAAATGTTTGAATACACTGGCAACTCTGCATCACGTAAAGCTACCTTGCGATTAAGAATAATTTTATTTATTCCTACAATTTGAAATCAACGTATCCTATTAGATCCTGGAAAAAAATCTTTTGGTGTTTGTTTTTATACACTATTGAGTTCATTAACGTACTGGTCCTACGTACTTTTAAAATGAAGTGAGAATTCACGAGTTTCTTTAGAGAGTCATTCTAGGTAATTTTTACTTTTAGTTTTCCAAACCTAAAAATATTATCCAACAGAAATTTTTTGTAATGACATAAATAACAAGTTTATTAGGACCCTTATTTTCATTTATTACGTCTTTCTGCCATGCGTCTTATTCTTTTATTTTTGTTTACGTTTGCTTTTTGTTTACTTTTGCTTTTTTAGAACTTTAATTAACAGCGAAATCATAACTGCCTGGATGGGGCACTTGCGTAATGAAATCTACTTTCTAAATGAAAATCACTTATTACACTTTACATTTACGACACGAAGTTGTCGAGTATATTATTTTGGGGGGAAAAGTGCATGTCGATTCGCACGTGTCTTATTCAGGCAATAACAAAGTTATTTTAGTAAATTTTTGCACTATTTTGAGGTACCAGAAAGTGATTTAATTAAAATACCCTTCGTCTGGACTTCACTGAGCATCCAGGGACTTTTCATCAACTTGGATTTACCCCAACGAGAGCACTAGCAACCAATGAGACTTCACCTTGCTATGCCTGGTCGTGACATAAAGAAGTGCATTTTTATATTTTCCAAAGAGGTGAAGACAGGTGTACTTAATTAAAAAATGGCGTAATTTGAAACTTTACTAAATGAGTGCTGAATGTTGGCATCCAAATCAGATTGAGCAAAGTAAACACGTTATAAAAAAATGCACAGTTGTTAAACAAGCGCTTGTGAACTTGGAAAAGTTCACTACATTAGCAAAATTAACAATGCAGACCGAAGTATCGCTTCAAAATTAGAGGAACGCGAGCCTAGGGCAGCACTATCGGCAAGCCATCGATTTGGCGATAATTGTTTTTGATCACAAGATCTTTCTCCAGAGCATTTTTATTGAAATTTGGCGTACGTCCTGGAAATTGGAGGCGCACCTGATCCATCAGACGCAAATGTATTTCGTCCGTTGTATCAGTATTAGGTACGGGATTGTAACAAAAGGCACTTTGGGTAGATTTAACGTTTTGTTTAATGAGCAGTAAGTATACCTTGGTGAAACGCCGAAATAATTCATTTCCTTTCGTCATCGCACTTCCTCATAAACCAGTTTAAATCATATTGCATTAGAGAGAAAAACAGTAGATTTTGATGCATTTCTTTATGTCAACGTACGCTCTGCGTCTCTGTAATTGCAGACTTAAACAGGAATTGAAGTGCAGTAAATGAATTACGGCTACTAGATTATTTGTTGTTGCAATATTTAAATATGTAGAGTTTTCAGGTTTTAATTTAATTACGTTTTAGTTTCAATGTTTACAAAATATATTCTACAATTACGAGTTTGTAATAATATTAAATATGATGAACTATTTTGAAGGGGGTACTTAAAACTGTATTCAAATTTCAATTTTGAGGTACATGACACAAATATGTCCATCATGTTCAAAAACATGGTCAAATGTATCTACAAGTGATGTACTATCACTCTCTTCATTGCACATTTTTTTGCAAGGAAATTCCATCTTAGAATTCATATAAAATATACTGTAAGTTCGTAATCAATAACTTAAAAGCACACGTTTTTTTTTTTTTTTCATAAGATGCGTGGGAGACTTACTTATAAACACCCTCATGGGGTATCCCTCCCTGCAGAAGGCTCTCTGCTGGCGATACCTGGCGTAGAAGAGGTAGATGGACCTGGCGATCATAAAGTTCATCACTGTCAGTAGCAGGAAGGGCACGATGAGCGTCAGCACCGTGTCGATGATGGTGATGTAGTACATGGCACTGGAAGGACAAAATTACGACGGTGGTGTAAGCTGTACTTTCGTCATTAGTTGGGTCTAATCTAAACTTATTGCCTTCAACAGAAGTTCCAACTCTTGTAATTTTTTTTTCACTTCTGAGTGATGAAATAAATAATCCTATTACTTGTAGAAGCAAGCTCTTGGTTAGATAGGTTTCCCTTTTCGTCACCATTAATGATCTCTTAATGATCAAATCAAGTGGTCCTGAAATTTGTTGTCGCGGATCCAATGGACTACTTGGGTGCACTACCGCAATGCACTACCGCATCTAGCAAAAATGGAATAGCAAATGTTAGCCCTACAGAGAGCTTGGTGGCATTTTAGTTAAAAGCGGTGAAACATAATCCTTCAAGTACAAAGAGGAAAAATCCTCCCCTCCCTTCAAAAAAAAAGAAGGGAAGAAAAGTAATTGCTTTCCTTAATAGCAAATGCGTTTTATTCGCCGAAATATATTTAAAAACCGGTAACTGTTCACTGCGACGTAAAATGGACCGAATAGCCTTAGGTCCATCAGAGTAGTACAAAGTGTATATAGTCATGGGGCACCAGATGAAGCACTTAAAAGCGTACTCAGGCCTTTTCTGCAGAGGCTCCAACTTGCATGAAAATTGATATAACAGTCCAACAAACATGGCTAAAATAACAATCCAAAGATTGGGCCAGAAGTAGGTGTTTTTGCGAAGTTATTCAATGTACGATTTTGTTATTTGCCCTGTTTTTTTAAAGAGAAAGTCTCTATTGGCAGCAATGAAAAAGAGACATCAGGGAAAAGCAGGGGTTCACTCTTTGGGCTGTAGACTCTTCCCAACTGATTAGAAGTAGTTTGATGTTGTTAAAGAAATGCTTTGGAAACTCGTTCCAGCACCGGTGCGTCAACACGAAACGAATGCACGGCACAGTCCGTTACTAGACTGCCCGCTCGACCTGTGAGCCTGCCTTCCCCTGATGTCACGGCACTGGAAAAAGGCGGTTATATTTTAATGTTGGCTTTGGTATCATTGTTACTGTGCCGATTCCACAATAATTATTTAGAATTTTGCGATACTAAATATCATTAGAAAAGGTTAATGCCAGTGAGCCCGAAAATATAGTTAGATGGGGTTGCTGAAAAAAATCGCGGGTGTACCCTTTTGAAAGCAAGACTTCCGGAGAATGCAAACCTACCACCTTAAAGATAGAAGCCTAGTGTTCTATCAACTGAACAATTCAAAAATTGTTTCGTTCTCATGTGCGAAAGAAACCACTTGGGGAGGAGGACAGACCGTGACGCCCTAAGCGGTTAACTTTAGAACTACACGTATGGGGACAACAAATACAATGACTCAGCGCTCGGATGACATAACCGAACGCGGCGTCAGCGCTCGGCTGGAGTTCGTTGTCTCCGGTTAGGGGAAGGAGGGGCTAATTTGTTACACCTCCGGCCTGCATGAACAATGCAGCATGCACGGTACCCAGGTCAGCACAAAAGCCAAAGTAGGTCAAGATCGCATTCTCTGACGGCTACTTTCGGGAGAGATCCGGCAATTAACGTCACTTCGTCCACAGTTAGTATGTTTTTACATTACACTGCGCCTCGCCCTCCTGCCGCACTGCGCCATCTCACGACGTTCGTTAGAAATGGGAGCGAATCTTCGACACACTTGCTCCGTAGCGAGGCAGCGCCGTTCAGACCTCTCTCGTTTCTTCCACCAGGGCCATGTTTCTTACAAAGGAGACAGCTCCAGAACTTATGCGAGCATATTAAAAAAGTAGGAGCCCTGTAGACGAAAGCAGATGAGTGCAAGGCTTATCACATATTCTGTGCTTGAAATTCTTCGTCGGCATGGTCAAGCTTGTATAAATGAGTTCCTCTTAGTGTTGTTCATGTTCCTCAAAAAAGAAACAAAAGCTCGTTCCTCGTTCCATCTGATTTTTGGAACGCGTTCCCGTTACGACTTCTATATCTGCAAAGGAACTCGAGCCCGTTATAGTTAAAAAAAATGGAAGGTATCGTTAGATATCTGTTACATTTGTATTTTGATAATTACCGTATTTAGTTGAATCAAGATAACTTTTCTTTTATTATCTCTCCCATCAAAGGGCAACATATGAATTGGAATGCAGTGATGGGAGGGCATCAGGAGAAGGCAAGCGCAAGAGGGGTTTAATTTGTTGATATATTTACGTTTAAAATATCAACTTTCAATCGTATTTTGTGGTGGGCGGTTCAGACGAGCCAAATGTACTGTTGCTCCACATTGCACGAGCATTTTGCAAACTCACAGGTTTCAATCTAATAAGGACCCTTGCTCGAACTTAACAACTGTTGCTTCTCAATGTTGCTGTCTTCAAGACGAGCAAATGAAGAAAAGTGTAGTGCTTTCGGAGGTCAGTCTCGACAACTACCAGTTTTTTTTTCGTGAAGGTTGGATTTCGTTTTCCGTTTGAAGGCGGGGGACGAGGGGAGAAGAAACAAAGATTAATATTTGTGTATATTTTAAGTGACCATTATTCAGGATACAAGGACACGTTCGATGTCAGGTAACCCGTACTTTTGTTATAACTGTAGGTCTATCCGTGGAAGTTCAGTGATGGCTGTAGTTGGCCTTATATTTCTGGATGTATGAAGATTCGTGGAATCAAAGAAAATAGCTGAGTTGTAAATGTCCGATTTTTGTGTTTTTCCATCAAATAAAATTTTTGCTTTTTATACCGTAGGCTCGGGCACTGAAAAAATACAGAAATATCCACTAGCTCTTCTGCACCCGACTGTTACCAAGCGAGGACCACACAAAATAAACCCTAAGATAAGTAAGCAAAAAGTTGACGAGATCCTGCGCTTCGTAAAGATATTGCTTTTATACTTTTAGAAGTTTCTTCTCAGAAATAAAATAAAAGTTACCCCACTGAACGAAAAAAAGGAACGCCGTTTCTTTTTCTGTTCCAGTAAAAATGTAACGCGTTCCCATTCTATTTCCGCCGATGCAAAATGAAACGGTGGCATTCCTTCGTTCCCCCTAAAAGGAACGCGTTCCAGGAACGCCGTTCCTTGGAACGCCGTTCTGTACAAAAATGGTTTCTATTCACCTACCCGAAAGGCGGAATATGAAAAACGCCAAAATCCTGCGTGTTTATACACACCAAAACTATATGAGCTGTCGGAAATGCAATCGAGGCATGTTTCTGCATGCGGATTGATGGCCGAGTGCGTTAACTCGCCGCAGCTTTGAGGAGAGGGATCTAAATCTCAGCCGCAAATGCCAGGCAACATTTGTTCAGTCCCCAACCCTTACCCTTTTTATCTGGATGAACGGTTGTGAGTCACATCTGCTATATGTACTATCGCCGACAATATTCGTGACTCCAGCGAGCTATAGGGGGCGCCACCACCAAATAAGCATGGCGGCTGGGAACTGGTCGCGTCCGCACGGCCGGGCCGCCTGAAAGGGTGGCGCATTCAATTTAACACATTTACTTTTGTTCAATGCCATATTTTACAGGTATTTGAACTGCGATAGTTAAGTGTAGCCGGCGCATATAAACTTGCAGAGCATAGTTTTGTTTTTTCTGTGTTTTTCTTCTTTTCATCGCAAACTTTTGTTGCTGAGATTTTGTTGAAAACCAAAATTATGGGCTCCGGAGAGACGTTAATAAACTCTAATCAGTTTTGATCAGCTAAGACAAGCGTCGATGACTACAGACTTGTTCCACCGAGATTAAATTTAGGCTAACTCGCATGCCTCGACCATGCGACTTATGTGTCCGCAAAATTGAGCTTTTGTGAGTATCCGCGTTTCAATAACAGATCCAGTCGTCTGTTCAGTCAACAACACAGGCTGCAGAAAAATTTGTAAAGTTAAGCAAGCGCTTCTTGAGCCATGGAGCATGTTAACCCACTGGCGCCCCACTACGCAGCTCATTCTCGTATTTCAATTCAGGTTTTAGTATAAATCGAGAAGTCATTTTGACGAATATGCGCGTTACGTACTACTTTACGTACTATGTCCCACCAAAGCTATATTAGTATATTCTTTGGGTTGAAATATAGCCTCGCGCGCTGCTGACCAAGTAGGCAGCGCGCCCGCGTGGACCACGCGAAGGGCTACGGTTCGATTCCAGGCAGTGGACGTACATTTTTATAATCTCTATAAACTCGCGCATTATATTAAATACGAGAACCCTGTTGCGTATTCGAGGTCTCAATGTTCTAGGCGCCGAATGCTCCAGAAGCCCACGTGTGTACATAATGGGCTCCGCGGGGCGAGCAGTACTCAGTCTCGCCCTAGCGCTCGATCCTGCTGTTTCGCCGACATCGGCACCTGCGACGCTAGCCTTTCTCTATTTTGTTTTGGGCACACGTTCGCCGCATTAAACGTTTAGTTTCTTCAGTAATTCGCCGCCTCATCATATGTCATTCGTGACAATATTAGCTTTGTTGACAATACTAGCTATTGGTGAACTGCTGAATAAAAGTATATTTGACAGAAATAGAGATACTACTTAAAATCAACCAAATGGTTATAGCCGGCAGCATGGAGATGGATGCGTACAAACTAAAGAGAGTCTTCATCGGAGATTCACGCAGATCGACAAAACACAAACTTTCTTAGTCAGAGAATTAGTGCCTGAAAAGACTCAGTGAAAGGGCAGATTTAATTATTAAACCTGCAGACAAGGGCGGCTCCATAGTTATTATGAACTGTCAAGATTATCTTGATGAGGGCTTTCGGGAATTGAATGACGCATCATTTTACCACGAACTACCGACAGACCCTACACAAAGTCTTGAAACGGCCATCATAGAGAAATCAGTAGTTCTAAAGAAAAGTGACAAAATAACCAAGGAGGTTCTTAACGCGACGAAACCATTCCACTCCAAACCCGGTCGCCTTTTATGTCCTTCCTAAAATACAAAAATCAATAACCCCGGGTGACCCATAGTGTCAGGAATAGGTACAGTCGCTGAATGCATCTCGAGTCTTGTCGATACAGTGATCAAGG